TATGTAATGTGCAAGCTTGAACTCCGCAGCGAAAAGGCTGCTTTGTGGGGAAGGAAATGTTGTTTGATGGTCAAAAACTAGACTGATGGACAAGACTTTATTGATAGGATTTGCTGTGCTTTTGGGACCAAGTCTTCTGAAAAAAGTGCAACATGACCTCAATATAGTCACTTTCTGTCTGTCTGTGACTGGTCAGAATTTGTTGTCAGTTAGAAATACAGGAGCCTGCATGAATGTTTCATGTCAGGCATTAAGAAGCAGAACAGAGTGCAACCTTGAGCTGCACTTTCTCTCTCCTGGAAAAGTTCATGGGTCAAAGTACCTTTAACAAGTTTACCAATGTAAATATTTATCCTGTATTTTTTCAATTTTCTCAAACTGTGCAAGTTCAACTCAAATTGAGAACAGCTCTAATATTGTGTGTCAACCAGTTGAGAAGATAATTATTTTTAAGTTCATTTTGGAATTACGCATGTAAATACAGATTTCTAAATGCTGAATAAATATTTTTAAATGCAGTGTTTACTTGTGACGTCTGACTGTAACTATAACACGCAATACACAAATTAAACACATTCAGTCATCTATTCTCAGGTCGGGCTGTTGGAAATGGCAACAGGTTGACTGAAGACAGTATAATACTTTTTCTGATGCAAGCTTAAAAGCTGATACCCTACTCCTCTACACATGCATCACAGGCATGGATATGTTTGTGGCAGCAAAAATGCTCATGCTGCAATGTTGGGGTAACTCTACACTGGGTAGTCCTGAAGCCTCTGCTGCATCGCACGCATAACTATCCTGTTAACCAAATATTCAGCTGTCCTTTAAGCTCAAGTGCAGAAAGAAGAAACGGACATGAAACTCATGCGACTAAACCTGGAAACCTACTTAATCACTGAGGATATCAAATACAATCGACTGCAAAGAAATATACAATAAATCACTTAATGATGTGATAAGTCAGTTTGAACGAGTTTCTAAAAGTAATTGTCATAAATGGCTACATGGGTCATTTTTATTCTTCACATGCTGCCTTTAAGCCATGCTTCAGTATTCTCACATCTCTAGCCCAGTATTTCTCATATTGTACATTAATACACTACAGCTAGTATAGTCATCACATTCCTTCGAAATGTATATCTACAACTACAGTATACGTTTGTACATAAACTACATATATAACTGTGATAGATGTATGCAGAGGGGATTCATTTTTATTCTGTTACAATGTATTTAAAGAGTTTTTTTTCCCTAATGTCGAGACTGCACATTCTGTGATAACTCACACCATTTTCACATGACATCTGATGAAAATATCAGCCTGTATAAATTACATTTGGTGGGGTATAGAGGTTGTACTGCAGCACTGGAAAGGACTGGAACTGTGTGGACTTACTGGTATATTTTCAGGGCTTGAAACCATGCAGCAAGCTGAGTATGTGACTATGTCCATGCATGTAATGGTGGATTCTGATGCTGAATTAAGAGATGTCTTTTATGATAAGAGATTTCACAAATTCGTAAAAATGGATAAAGCCCATATAAGCTACTAATCAGAATCAGAGACATACAGTATATCCAAAAATATTAAATCTGGAACATATATCAGTATAAAAAGACCTGTTTGTTTTTTTAATCAGTAACCCAGTAAACTACTTGGCAAAAGCTGCCGGAAGTGGCCATTTAGTATGCTGTCACATGACTGTATTTATTACTAATCTGTTCTTCTTGTGTCCGTTTTTGTGAAACTTTACCCATCATAAGGAAATAATTAGAAACTGATAATAATAATAATAGAAACATGAAAACATCTGGGATGAAATACGACACAGGAAACTGTTCAAAACTTTAAAAGCTTTATTAAACTTCAAACACCTACCTTCCTGAGAAGCCTGGAATGGTATTAAAATAAATTAACACACAGTCAACTACGAAAGGCTCGACTGTGTACACAGCGTCTTTTTACGTGTACAGTACTACGTCTCCAGATTTGCTCAAACAAATATAACAGCACAGCAACAGCTTTAGTTACACTAAACTGTCCCTAGTTCATCCTATTTTAACTCAGCAGAGCCTCTGAAGTGACAGTCTGACTCTGTTGTGTCACCTCACTCCTCAGAGTAAACACTGCCTACTGGCATCTCAACAGCCTGAAGTGGTAAGTAAGCTTTTGTTGTCTCCTCACTTGTGTCTCATTACACTGAAATGTAAAATGAAAAAAAAAAAAAAAAACTGAAAGCAGGGCTTAATGGCTTGATCATTTGGACATAACAGAAAAATCATTATATTAAGTCCTCAGAACAGATTTTTTTAGTACCAAGAAGCTTTTGAAATAGTTGGCAAAAAAACTGTTGCCTTCCCTACTTCAGCTCTCTTGGCAGAGACGACACAAGCTAAGTGCAACACTTTAAAACACAACAAGACAATAATGGCAAGTCGAGCCATATGTGCTACTCGTTGAATGTGTGTGACAATTAATTGCAGTCCAACTCTACAAACATATGTACAGTTTTGCTACGATCTTCTGCTACGTTCAGACAGCCTGTTGTTCAAAAATAGCTTGTTATCAAAGAAAGGCACGTTAAGAAGTTGCTTTACTGGTGTGGATTTGTTTTGACTATTGCAAACATTGTCATGACTACGACACTGTACAACTACTACAAGCCTCTGTCTACACACAGCATGTTATATAGTAACACATCAGCCACAAATAATGTACAACTACAAGAAAACTCACACATATTTACAAACTGGAGTCCTGACACTTGGAATAAACACTACAGAATGAACAGTGGCCTGATTTAACCTGAATAAAGGGAAGTGATTTGATGGTGGGCATGTCTTCTCAATCCTCTTATCTGTTGAGGCTGATGAGGTGAGGGGGATACAGGGGTTGGTTCTCAGTTTTGGTTTTGTTGTGGGTGGTGTACTTTTAAGGCACAGAGGGGAAAAAAGATGGAAGCGGGATGAGGTCAAAGGCCTGGCTTTCTCCTTGCCTATTCTCGATGACTGGCTATATGTTTAGCCTGTAAACATCTCCACATGATCTTTTTGACATGCCGTCAACAGAGACTCAAGGGTACTGTTACGTAAGAGAGCATAAATTAACAAGGAAAGGTTATAAAATGGTATTTATATCACCTGGTCACTTAAACAGAAGAGGAGCTTTTACTTTCTGACAAAGAGGGAATATGTTTTGTAGTTTAGCTGGTGGGGGGCTTTTTTTTGCAGTACCATACCAGTATGTCTGCAAGTTTTAGCTCCCTAACTACAAAGCATGTATACTCAACATTTTTGCTGACCATTGTCAAATGCAGGCTGTACAGTTGTAGATTTTTGGATGTGTTTTTCCAGCAGCTCCAGTAAGCGTTTCTATTCAAATCTGTTCGGTAGAAAAGTCTTCTTTTTATTTCTTACACACCAGCAAAATTATGACTAAAGACAAAAACGTGCAAACCACTGGTATAGTTGCTTACAGGAATAGTTAGACATTTTGGGAAATATATCTTTTTCCTGATAAGAATTAGATGAGAATATTGATACCACTCTCAAGCAGAACAGAACTAGGCTAGCTGTTTCCCCTGTTTCCAATCTGTCATATTTACCGTACAGACATGAGAGTGCTGTCAATCGTCTCATCTGACTCTCTGCAAGACAGTTATTAAGCATATTCCCCAAACTGTTGAACTAGTCCTTAAAGATAGCTGCAGACTATTTTCGTAGAGAGTAATCTTTGTTAATTGTACAGTTTACACTGTATTTGTATATGAGCAAGAGTGCTCGGGCTACATGATTCTCGAAACATTCACTGGCCATTCCCTCTCTTGACATCCCACTCTCATTCCACCAATCAGGATCCCCTATGAGTTTCCAGACAACCTTTCCTAAGGCTATGGTCTCACGTAACACAACATTGCTGTGCTTGTGTGTCTGTGCGCATTCGTGTGTGTGCACAGATAAGCAAACTCAGCTGCTTTCACCTCAGATTGCTCTCTCGGGCTACAGTTTCCCACAGCCAAGGGGTCAGTGTCAAGGCTGTGTGAAAAAGCATTGACACTTCTGCGACAGTATGCAGGTTAAAATTTCTAGTGGTAGCCAAAAGGCCATGGGGAAAAAACAACAACTATTTGACAGATTGTCAGGTCAACATCAGAAATCATACTGTTCCTGCTGGATATGAGAATGTTATGAAAGCTATAGTTTGCTACTTTGCTTGTGACCGCAAATAAATATATAAAAATTCTGAGAAAATAGTGGAAGATCAGGCCAGGAGAGCTGGGTCGAGCACCATAGTTTAAAGGAACTTTTTGAACACAGTTTATTTCCTGGGTCCCTGGATGAATGTTGGGCAGACATTTGATCTGAAGGCTATACAGTCTTTTGGGGCTGGGTACAGGAGCGGTGAGGGGTAGAGGACAAGGGTCCAGCTTAGATGACCTCTCTGCTGTTGCGAATGGCACAGCAGAGCACCATACTGAAGATCATCCCAATGATCTGTTGAGAGGAAAAAATATTTTAAATGAAATAATCCTCTCTCACAAAAAAGTGTGTATTTTCAACTCTTCTCAGATCCTGACTCACCATGACTCCAGCGATGCCGATGCCAACGTACCCAATGATGTAGAGTTTACTGTTAAAGAAGTCCTTGATGCCTGTCTCACAGTCCTGCAGACCCAAGATAAGAGGAGTCAAGAAGCATCAAGTTGTAGTGAACCATGATGATTTGTGTGGCAACATGACTCATTCATTAGACAACAAAGGAGCAGAATTTAATTTCCGCCCTGAGTCTGGAGCGGGTGACAGATCTTACCTTGGTATCAGGTTTGGGATCAGGACATGGGCTTGCTATGGTTCCACAGCAGTTCAGCTGAAAGTGGGAAGAAAAACATGATATGATGGAATCATAAAACAAATAGCTTTTAATATGCAAATTCTTCTGCATTAGGAACATTAAATATTTTGCTTTCAGGACAGGTGATGATAGACAGGAAAGATAGAGAGAGGGGGGACGACATGCCTACAGCCTACATGGGGCGTGCGCTCTACCAAGTGAGCTACATTTAAGTTTTTACTTACTACTTTCTGGTATGAGATGATCAATGTGCCGTTGTTGTTTTCATTGTAGGTTGTTGTGTAGAAGTTCTGAACGTCTTCGATAATCTGCGTGAGAGAAGACAAGTGAGTCATCACACTCATTGCACTCTCATTGCACAAATAAAGCTGTAAAACAACAAATGTACCTTGTCTTTGTTTATGAATCCAAAGACCCCTGCTGCCACCTCAGCGCCAAAGATGATCAACAGACAGGCAAAGAACTGTAAAAAAAATCACAAATGACAATGAATGTACGGTTCTTGTAAATAGGATACAGGTGAGGTCTATATATGTAAATTTTTTGCTTTTGTGTTTGTATGTGTTTATACTCACTGAACCCAGCAGGCATTGAGATTCCCGAACAGCTCCACAACAGCCAAAGAAACCAACCAACATCACCAGACTGCCAGCTCCTATCAGGATATACACACCTGGAGGAACAGGGAAGAAGAAAGTTATCACTTACATGCAGTAATGCAATGGTAAACAACAAAAAGGCAGGTAAATTAGACCTGTAGTCAAACAATCATCGGGATACCCTTTACTGTGATATATTCTATTAATCAAAATAATTAAGCTAAATTAACCGAAAAAAGGCTAAAAATGTGCATTTACTGTGCTTATGTGGTTTGATTCCCCACTACATCTCTGTTACAGTAACATGCTCAACTTCCCCCAGCTAGTTCATCTGGCAATTTTAATTTACAGCAGGGGGCAGCATAGAGCTTGGAATGTAAGTTGAAACAGTCACACACTAGGTTGCCAAACAGAGCTCAGACAGTGGCATTAACATTTCAGACTGTACTATTTCTGTGGTCAGCTGAGCAAATGGCAGCAAAGCGATCAATGCTTCGTCAGATCCCTTTTCTAAGGGGTGGTCCCGCTTTTATTATGCCTTTAATAGTGTCCTCGTATGAGATGGCTTGTAAAAAGCCTTCTTAGCAAGAGCTTGATTTGGGGGGGGGGCTCTGAGTGGGATGCTTAATTTCCTCTTAGATGCTGTGATCTCACATTAACCCTCTCATTCATTCATTCTCAAAAGGCACATCTTGCGTGCATCTGCAGGGAGGAATTCAACAACAGATTGGTTCCACCAGTGCACTTGTACAGGTGGGGTCTGTTGCTAGGCGACAGCTCTGCAGAGAACGGGGTAAGAGAGGACGTATCAGCCCCCAGGTGATGTGGGCTCAGGGGGGGAACGAGAGAGGAAGTTCAAAGGATCCCGGTGTTTCAACAAAAAGACTTGATGTGATACAATAATTGAGTTGGGTGTGTCCTTTCTTTTGTTTAGTTGGCAGGTTAAGGAGTCAAATGATCAGTTGGCATGCTGATCAGCTTTGAACTGGTGACAAGTGATACCGCTATGATTATTAAGTGAAAGAGGCGCTGATTCTGTAATTGATTTCAGGCAGAACACTGCGCTGGTTTTTCCTTTAGCACTTTAGTCTGAAGTTATTTTCATTTTCTAATAATACTTCATTTCAGCGTACGAAGAAAAGATAAGTTTTGTGTAGGCTTGATGCCATGGGAACGAGGCATAGCAACTGTTGAGCGCTCTCAGCTGTGTCTGTGGGGACATCGCTCTCACTGTCAAAGCCATGTGTAGCATTATAATCCCAGAGGACCTGACCAAAGCCACCAGTCCTCAGTCAAACCACATGGACATCTGACACACACACACAAACAGAGGCAGAAGTTATGAAATACCTTTACGGTATTATAGGCTTTTGTAAGAAAATAGTTCCTTGCAACATTTGTCTGCTATTACACAACCGTATATGTCCTAAACAGGCTTCAGATAAGCAAATAAAGTACCAATCAGAAGGAGAATAGTTTAGTCTGGAGATTGTTAAATAACTGACATTATCATAAGTGCCACACTGATTGTTGTGGGCAAAGAGTAGCAGAAGGTTAGTCTTAAATGGGACAGCTAAACACCTCTCTCCTCCTCTTTCCCATTCATTTCACGTCACGCCATCTTGTTTTTCCTTCAAATCTTGGATCCCCATCTGTTTCTATGATTGTCCTCTCCTATATGCCTATTTTACGGTCCTCACACTCAGTGTTCCCCCCCGTCTCTCCCGTTCTATCTGGGCAGGGTGACTTACTAATAGGTGGTGAGAGGCTGCTGGTTTCCCTTGTGCATTTACGCTCTATGTACAGCAGCAATTTCCTGTTATTCACACTCATCTCCGGTGTGAACGAAGCACACACACGCTTAAAAAAAAGGGAAAAAAAATTCTGACGTTTCTCTGTGTGTGGCAAACTTGGTATTGGGACATCCATCAAATTATGACACTCACACATTCACACACAGAGAAAGACTGACTTGCATTAAAGCACTTTTTTCCCCTTACACCCATTTCTGCGCATGTGTGGGCTTTTATATGTGTTTGTGTAGTGTGTATTTGTGTGTGTCTGTGCCTGGAGGGAAGCCTGTGGTAGGCATCCACTCTAACATAGAGACAAACATTTATTTACAAGCAAAGGGGGTTGTACTGAAACATGCAGATTAACAATTTTAAAGCTCCTCTCCAGACAGAGAATGGCAGAGATGAGAGTAATATGACTTTTTCATATGTATGTGGTACTAATGTGCACAGCGAATATTATATTACATTATTAGATTATCATAATAGATGATACATTCTACAGACTACTGAGGAATGTCACAATTTGCAAAATTCATTATTTGATTTGAGAAGACACAATGGTGTCTAGGATAATGTGCATACATTTGCATTTATTATGAGTCAGAATATAAGTCTAAGTACTGATACTTCAGAGTGGAATAGCTGAACTTTCCTTGACCCTTTTAGAGGGACACAAACGTGCACACATTTCTTGCAACAACAGCACTTACCTGTGGGGAATCGTTCAATATATGTATTGAAGCAATGGTCATGTGTTGTTGCACACCTACATGGCTGTGGAAATTAGCTGAGGCGTGCTGCGGTACTCACCAATGAAGAACGTGTCTGGCGCCTTATCACCATTGAGCAGAGAGACAGTTTCTGGGTCAAAGCGCAGCCACAGTCCGACTGCCAGAACAAAGGATCCCATCAACTGCAGAGAGAGAGAGAGAACATAAAGACTTGTAATTAGCTTTAGCTGCGTATGACTACTTATTTCAGAAGAAACAATCAAGGATCGATCGGATCATTGTACAACACAAGGTTGTAACAAAATTTAAGTGAGTTCCTTCATGCTACACATAGAAAAAAACAATGAAATTCATAGAATAACATACAAAGCTAAAGAAAAACTAATCAATACATTTTATACACTATACACTATTATACAATAGTCCATCTTCAGGGCCTGAGCGGCAACCGCTGCGGGGACCCTATTGAATTTTAAGGAATTATTTTTCTTCCAAAAGGATTTTTGGCGGCCACAACATGCCCAAAAACTCATGAAATTCTGCACAAAATTTACCGGTACATCCCCAATATAGGCACAAGCGACATGTATGAAAATTGGTTCACATGTGTATCATGACCAGACAATCAAAAAAGCCTCTTGGATCTATTACCCCAAACCCAGCAGGAAGTCGGCCATTTTGGATTTAGTAGCCATTTTTGTACTTCAACAAACTCTTCCCAGTGAATCAGAAGACCATGATGATGAAAAATTAGCAAAAGTTGTCACAGAAGGGCGTTTCCGTGGCCATCGCTGTGAAACAGGAAGATGTCATAAGTTCATTATACTTGCACCAAACTTCACGTGTGATAAGAGTCCTGCCAATATTCAATCACACTTATAGCGCCCCCTACTGGAAACAGGATGTAAGGCGTGTGTGGCAATCATGATCTGCTTTATGTTAAATTCTCAGTGTGGTTTACACATGACATGCATGAGACGACTGCAGCAATCCCAGACGCACACTGGCCTGATCATTGCTGCTTGCAGCTTTAATTTGAATTTGTGTCTGTGGGAATGTAAAAGAGCAGCAACAAAATAGTGACGATAATATGGTTTTAATCCTCCCATAAAAAGAAACTGACTGTGTTTGAGCACCAAGCATCACTGTTGTAAACACAGAGTCGGCCCCCTTGTCGGAACATGGTCCACCCATTGAGTGCTTGATCTGGGATTTTTAAAGATTTCAGGAAAAAATGCATGGAAAACTCTACCAAATAAAGGACCTCTGTAGACAAGTGGTCCACAGTCATGCTCTGTTGACACTCATATGTAGGTTTTAATTGTAACCGAACCCTAATTAAAACCAACTGTATTCCCTGACTCCCTCATGCTACTTTTTCCCCCTCTGGTTATGGATGCAATAATCATTAGATGTCATATGGTTGCAGACGATCATTATTTTGAAATATTCAGTCAGTGGCTATAAAGTAGAAAATCAATTACTTTTTGTGACGTATTTCATAATGAAACATGGTTTTCTTATCATTTATATCCTGGCTTTAGATCTGACAACATTGGTTTGAGTATTCATCACAAACACAATGCTCTTTTCATCTAAAGCACAACAGTGGAAGTGCATGTTTTTCAGGCCTTCGGAGGGCTTGTTCTTTTGGTCTCCCTAAATGTGATTTTCCACATAAATAAAGCAAATGTTGCTGTGGAGTTTCCACTCTGGCCCTCCACCCTTTGCACTTATGCAACTGAAGTATTATTTAGTAGTTAGTTTGGCTGATGTCAAAACAATATTATATATATATATATATATATATATATAATATCTGTTTGCATAATGGGCGAATCATATAAGTGTTCTAAACTAATAGATCCCAGCAGAATTTAACTTACGTAACTTTGAAACACCCCATGATTTCTGGCTTCCCAGTAGGGAGAAAATGACCCGCTTGGCTGTGGGCAGCAGTGTGGCACCTTGAGCTTTAACAGGCTCTCCTGTTTGTTTGGAAATGTGGTTACATGTTGCTCATATTTTCCTTCATCTAAACCACCATCAGTATACATCGACTGAAATCGTACCACCGGCATTACTCCTTGTCTGCTTTGGGGTGAACCGACTACAGCGAAAAACTTTTATTCTCTACATGATCAGAAGACCTAAATGCTTTTTTTTTTTTCCTGAGATCTGAGATGCTCTCAAGGCCAGAGACTGTGGTGGGTGATCAGCTGACAGATCAATACTGAGAGGTTTTAATGATTCCTGAGCCAGTGCCCCCTGAGGATAATCCAGTCTAAAAACCATCTGAGCTGAGCTTCAACAACAACAGTGTGTATGTGCGCAGAGAAATAAAATGATTTGTCTAAATGGAGAGTAATTTGGAGTGCTCGTCACATGGTCTCTCTGTGTCCTAGATCTCAGAATCTAGGTAGACCAGTGTTTGTGCGACTGTTTGTTTCTATGTCCTCAAGCTCTGTTAAGTGAGAGAGAAACAAATCCTGTTGCCAAGTTCAAGCGAAAACAAATCTGTAACAGATATCTACCTTAATTTTACTTGGTGACCTCTTGTTTACCAAATCTTCTCTGCCTTTGTCTGTTTCTGCAAATTCTCTGGTTTTACCTCTTTCATCCTCCTGTATCTCATCCTCGTCCTCACTGTCTACACTCCTCTCTTCCTCCACTCCAGGTCCACAGGTTATATTTTATGGTGTTGGTCTGAAGTATAGCCAGCAGCTCAGTTATAAAGCATCAGAATAGGACAGGTGTTGGGAAGCCGGCTTCCTCCCAAACTGAGGATTTAGTGTCATGTGTGGTGATGTATGGGACAGCTGAACTCTTGGGGTTTTAGGATTAGCAGGTCCAAAGTGATAAAGCACACTGAAGTGAAGGCTGTAGATGTGTAGACTTACTGACCCAAGCTGGATTAGTGTGGAGATGGGCTCTGGATCTATTTAACACTGGTATTTGTCGGAACACCTGATGGTGCAATGGTGTTGTTGGAGGTGTGAGGTGAGGACTGCTGCCCACTGAATCATGTGGATATACACACAGAGCTAAGAGCTGGTGTCGTCCCAAGCTAGATTGTGTCAATACTGTATGGAGGCGCAGGTGCTTGTTTCATAGTTGAAAATAACCTAGAGCTCAGACAAACCTCATTACTATTACGGCTACATTTGAAAGCCTTTTCCAAACCGGATACATAGACAGATACCGCACTGAAAGGAATTTTAGAGCAGGGGGGCTACATCTAACATTGCAGTCAGTAGCTGATGTGCTAAGTACAATCTCAACCCTGGCACTCATGAGCCTGACTATCCCAAAGGTCCCATTAACCCCACTACTTACATACCTCCCTGCTTTACCCCCCACCACTTTGTCTGCCATCATTACCCCATCTGACACCAGACACACCCCTCCCTTCACCCAACGCCACTACCTCCCCAATCTACACCCCCCTGCCCCCCTCAGTCCCTTGACTTATCTCCACGAATCCCCCTCCTCTACTCCACCTCATCCCGCCCGCTCCCTCCCAACCTCACCCAAAGGACAAAGAGCCACTGTCTCCCTGTGACTATACGCTTTGGCGCACAATAGGGGGAAGCAGACAGACACAATGAAAGAGGAATTGAAAGAAAAGGAAAATAGAGAACAAGTGCTTAGAGGACCCATCATCTTTTTTTCTTCAGACTATAGAAGCATTTTATTGAGAGACAAAGTTAAAACTCAAACATGTGTCCTACATATAGGTCCTGTATAGACTATGTCTCTGAAAGACAGATGGAAGTGAGAATAGCAGAGTTCCCCTGTGTCCTCTTTCTTTCCTAACATCTCAGAGGATAGTTTGTATGTCTGGATATTTCTAGACAGGGATGGAAAGCTCTCTGTCAAAGCTTTATTGAGGTTCTTTTACAGTGTAAGGCTTACTTTTTTAACAGTGTAGTTAAATTGTGTTTTTGTGAGGGGAATTTCCATGAGAACAGGGGCTAAACCGACACAGGGCTGTGGTCTGTGGCATTATCCACTTTTTATGTTAGACCTTATTTTAAGGGGAAAAAAATGACTTAATTTTAAATTAAAACAAAAGTAATATATGAAAACAAAAGAACTGTAAATTACTTCTCCAGCAGTAATTGGTGAGGGATTTGAGCTTGTCAAAAATAGTCTTTTGCCTGGCATTTGTTTGGGAAAACCAATGTAAGCGCACATTAAAAATGATGGACAGAAGGAAAGTGTAAATAGGAGTGAGATAATTATGGGTGGAGTAAATCCCATTGTACAATGCCACAGGGCAAGGGTGGGGGAGCGTAGTGGCACACATCAACCTCCACAACACAGACGAGTATGTTTGTAGGGCTTGAGCAATATTTAGTGTCAATATTGATTTTTGAAGTGCATGTTACCATAAATCTTCAAAAATTACGAAATGAGTTTTGCCAACACTTTCAAAGTCATAAAGCCCATCATATGGAATTATTCAAGATAACAATAACAGATAAAAACAGTGTTTATATGATATAATCTCCTACCCTCACTATTAACACAATATTTTAGTTTTGAACCAATTTGACCTAAATTTAAAATAAATAAATAAATAATAAAAATACATAGACAAGACGCTAGCCATACAATTTCTTTATTAGAAAAACCAACTATCTTTCAGAATTTAATATTTTGTGTTATCAAAAGCTTTTAGCCATGCCATTAAGTTAAGTTTTTCTAACCAAGATTGTCATCTTGTTCAGACTGGTGAATGTTTGGAATTGAAATCTTTATATTCTATGAATGTAGTGTTATTTATATAAATTATTGCATGGAAATGTGGCAATAGTTTGTAAATGTGAATGTAATGTCTTCACTTGTTTTCTTCTCTCTCTTTATTTATTTCTCTCCTGTGCTCTTTAAGTTTTAGTGAGGATAACCCCATTAAGTGGAATCATTTGTAAATCATCGCTTACACTATAGTTGAAAGTTATATTAGTACAATATTGTTTTTACCATGTAATGGCAACTATAGTGCAGGATGATAAAGGCTGCCATGTTCACTGCCATATCATGCTCCTAAAGAAGTGATTTAAACTAGCTAAAACAACAAAAAGAAATCTCTTCCATGTGGCATGTATTGTTAGTTGGATAGCAAATGGAGAAAAAACACTGGTTTTCAGGACAAAAAGCTTTAAAAATGGACAAAGACATTGTTTTTTATTGGACATGCACTACTAACTAACTAACTATTAAGTTAATTATTTTGTTATGTCAGATGTTTTTGATGATAAGGAAGTAGACTGGAGGAATATCTGTGGGAAAGACGCTCTGGGCTGCACCTTTGAAGCACATCACTATGAAGCAATGTTTGCCCCACACTGTTTACCTCACAGGCTTAATTTTTGACTAAATACGGCAGTCAGTGAAGTATAGCACACGAGCACAGGCCAGACAAGCCAGCAAGGTATTGAAGCTCTGTTGCAAGCTGTAGCATTTGCAGCTATCAGTGTAATATATACAAAAGCTTGGCCTGCATTATATTAATGACAGTTTAGTAATGGAGCCCTTCAAGAATCTCACTACATCACGATGCTGTGACATGAAGTCAGAGAGGTTTATAAACACAGAGCCACTTTGTAAGTGTTGATTGATGACCATGTTTTGTCAGATGAGGATGGTTATTAACTAAGTGTATTTGACACTTTTAATCATTCAGGTACAAAAAAATATAAAAAGGTGTTTAAAGTGTATGAGTGTCAGTATGTCTCACATCTGTTGACTACATTCACAGCCTGTCCAACACAAGAGCATGTCTCTACTCTACTGTCCACTCAGGGCTCATGGGGGGATTTAAAGGGAAACTTCCCCTCCTCCACCCACTTTCATCACACACACTCATCATTTCTCACTCCACCATCAGCACAACAGGGGGGCTGATTATGAACCGTTTATTTGAAGCAGTGCAGGAAATTTGCATAGCGTGCATGCTTTGAGTCCCCAAAAAGTGGAGGAGCGTTCGTTTAGGCGTTTCTGGTTCAGTATGACTTGTAACGCGCACAGACAGCACAGATTCACAGATTCACAGAATAACCCGTTATCCTCATACTGATCTATTTCCTATCTTTATCTGGGTCAAGTTCAGGCCAACTGTCCCTCTTTTGCCATGTGAGCGCGCACACACGCACATGAATATCCCTCTCAATCTCCCAATGACCCTTTTCTCTCCTATCACATTTGCTGTCTTCATTTCTCTATTTTCCTGTCTCTCCACCTGTCTGTCACCTCTCTCATCTTCACCTCTTTCTCTCTCTCTTCATGTGTCCACACTCAGTTGTATTCAAAATGAGATTTCAGCAACAGCCACACCCATCCTGGATGTGGGGAAGTAGCGATAGAACAACTTAATGGTGGGACTGACGGGGCCACTGTGTTTAGGGCTCCGGCAGGCTCTGCTGCTTAGCCAGGCAGGAGCAGCAGACTGAAGTTATGCTATTGTCCCGCTGTCACAATGGATCCATTCACGCTGCACTCAGCGCCTGATCCACTCCACAGATGCTTGTTGGAAAATCTCTCTCTCTCTCTCTCTCTCTCTCTCTCAACTCACACAAAGGAACATCCCCTTTGAGGAGTGAGAATGGTGACACACATAAGCCTAAGTTTGCTTATACACACACACACACACAAAGATTATCCACCAACTTCTTACAGACAATTAGTGTGTTCATTTATAACATGCACTGTGAATGGAATTTAACAAGGATTGTGTGCAAAGCATGTGTGCAGGACACATACACACAGACATACACACACCTTTCACATCCACCTGACAGTTTGTCTTGGGTAAAGTGACTCTCTTGTGTCTCCTTCTGAGTGCCCAAGTGCTGCTTTTTAAAAATGTACAAGTGGAGGCAGTTGGGGCACCAGGGTGGGTGTAACTTCACTTTATCAATCAGCTCTGCGCCGTTTGTTAATGAAGCTGTGGCGCACGGAGCCAACTGCTGAGTTTGTTTTCCATGTTGTCTCTCAATCTTTCTCTCTCTCTTCCTCACTCTCTGTCTTTTCATTCAGTCCTTCCTTTCAAAAACAGGCTTCCCCGGGAAAAAGGGGGCGGGTTTTTCCTCTGTGGAAAATCTGATTTGAGCCCGGTGAGCCAAAAACTAAAAAACCTCTCTGAATGTCACCCTTTCCGCGCCACGCACAGAGTAAACCCCACGCCGGACGGCAACTAAATAAAGCACACAAGAGTCCGACAAGAGGATGAATGCAAGAACCATAAACAATCTCAGCATCATTACTAAAAAATAAACACGTGGGATGTGAAAGTCAGCTGTGTGGAGTGAGTAGTCCGCGCCGCTGCACTTGCTACGCGTTCATTTACGCTCAACTTCGCATCCCATCCCCACACAAGCACAACGCCGAACATGCACTTACCCAGAATATAAAGTTGAACACGAACAAAAGGTATTTCACGCATTTCATTCCTCCTTCCACCTTCCCCATCTCGGCTGGATGTCTTCGTGTTTTGCCTTTATCCCCGCAAAATGCTCTGACGCTTGTATTGGACCCGCACACTGTGACAATAACGGTCTGTCCCGGTTACAACACTTGAGCATCAGGAAGCGCCGTCTCTCTCTCTCTCTCTCT